CAGATGTTGTTTGAAAGTTAACTTAAATGTCATGGAAAGCTTTTTAATAGGATACATATTCAGTACATGATAGAATTGAGATATTATTGGATAATATGAACAACTTTACAAGTTAAACCTTTTCTCACTTTAGCTTATTAGTAATAAAATGATGCTTCAAATGTTCTTGTACGTCCGTGAGTGGAGAAATTCAGCTCATCCTCGAAAAATGCTCTCATATGGCCACGTGTATGCAACCACTACCAGAGAAGTCCTACTCACTGACTTCTCACCGCATTACTATTATTTACGAAATTGAGAGGACGAAAAGAGAATATCCGACGCTTTAATCGGGTTGGTGGATCTGGAGAATCCGTCTAGGGGATTTGGAAATCAATGATGCACATGAGCTCCAGGATACTGAGGGAACAAATGGCGTATGAACCTATTGTTGGTCACAGGCTACCATGGAATCGCATCCCCCAAAGTTTCTCCATTGTCTTATGGAGTCATCAAACTACATCACGTGGCAAGCCATAACTCGGAATCGTGAAGGGAAGCGGAAAAGTGGAAGGCCAAAGAACACATTACGTCGAAAAATAGAAGCAGATATGAAAAGGATGAATTACAACTGGAAAGAGCTAGAAAGGATTGCTCAGGACAGGGTTGGATGGAGAATGCTGGTGAGCGGTCTGTGCTCCTTCACGAGGAGTAACAGGCGTAATTAAGTAAGTAAGTATAACACCAAGCGATTTTGATATAAAACTTCTTCCATTTACTTCAGATTATTAAAATGTAATAAATTGATTATGTATTCACTCACTTCATTATAATTCACTTAGATGATGTAATACATTGATAGTAAATACGTATCAATATCAGGGTTGAACTTGATAGTTTCAAATAAATTGAGCATTGGGTATCAAATTGACCAAAGATTACATAACATTGAAAATATTCTGCATTATTTCTTTCTGTTATATCTAGAACTTAGACTCTTAATATATCACGTACACCTTGAGCACTTGGACACTAGAACCCTCAAAGTCGCAAATGAGAGAACGTAAGAAGAGTGAGAAAGAACACTATTCTAAACAGTGTCAAATATAATACATAACTCTCAGGTATGTCTAGTTTTCAGTAAAAGTTCAATCATCATTACAGTCATCTAATTCGTATACAATTGTTTTCAGCATTTGTTCAATAGGGAAGCTACACGTTGAGATTCTGAAATGCTCTTCGAAAAAATTATTGGATGGAATGTCTGCAGTCGTTTCTGAGCTTCTTTGAATTCATCTGTGGGCTTTCCTCACACCTGTGTATTAATTTAATTTCGGTTATCTATCGATTTACTCAGAAGAAGTCATAAAACGTTAGAAATACAAATTTTCTACTCATTAGTAATATAACAAAACATCTATTTATCATTCATAATGAATGTTTGAAATTTTTTGATTGGCGTCATAAACGGATCATTGTTAGACAACTATTGAAAACATAAAAACACTGGACGGCCGTTTCGTCCTAGTATGGGACGTCTCATCAGTGCGCATCCAGGATCCTGCTCACATTCACTGCTGAAGAGCCCCACAATCGGAAGAAACGTCCATCTAGTGCTTTTAGGTTTTTAGTGATGGCCTAACATCAATGAGTTCATGATCTCAATCAAAAACCTAATAATCTCCACAACCCCTATATCAATAATCACTTATCCTTATACAAGAAATGCAAAGCAACCACAATCATTTGATCATTATAAGCTAGTCAATCACTATTTAAACAAATACCCTTCGATTTGAATCTCTTTTTAATTCTACTCTTAATAGAAACAATCAGATTAGATCACTATCCTTCAAATAAACAATCTGCTTAAATGTTGATTATATCTAACTGTAAATAACTTGTATGATGATTGATTACCATAGTTATTAATTCATCAAATGTCACCAATTCATGGGAAATAAAACATAAGCGCCTACTATAAACACATATTTAGATTATAAAGAATAATATATAATAATAATATTTAAGCTGTTTATGATACACTAATAAATCACCTAGGTGAACAACACCCCCGCCTTCTCGTGGCGGGGGTTTGTTCACGAAACTGAGAGGACGAAAGGAGAATGTCTGACGCTTTAATCGGGTTGGTGGACATGGAGACTCCATCTAGGGGAGTTGGAAAACCCTGATTCTAAATCAATGGTGCACATGAGCTCCAGGATGCTGAAGGAACAAATGATGTATGAACCTATTGTTGGTCACCGGCTACCATGTTACTGCATCTCCTTACGATGCTTCATCGCCTTATGGATCAAACCTTCAGGTCGAAGGCTCCGGGTGTGGCCTCCCAAAAAAATCATCTGTTTCAGTTTGGGTACCCGGGCAGTATCACAGCCCTCACACATATCAAATAGAATTTGTGTGATGCACATGTATTTGGTGCCTCCTTGTACCAATATCTATGTGTTAAGAAAAAAAACATATGGAACTTAAAACAACTGTCTGCAAGCCAACATCAAAGTCACAATCTTCAATACGAACGTCAGGACAGTTTTACTGTACTGAGCTGAAATGTAGAGGACTACGATAACCATCATCAAAATATTACGACTGTCTATGAACAATTGTCTACGTAAGATATTGAATGTTCGTTGACTGGATACAACCAGCAACAACCTACTGTGGGAGAGAACAAACCAAATTCCAGCCGAGGAGTAAATTAAGAAAAAACGTTGGAAGTGGATAGAACATGAATTACGGAAATCATCAAACTGTATCACGGGGCAAGCGTTATGTTTAAATCCTGAAGGGAAGCAGAAAAGAGGACGACCAAAGAACGCATTACGTCGGGAATTAGAAATAGACATGAAAAGAATGAATAGCAACTGAAAAGCATTGTCCAGGACACAGTTGGATAGAGAGTTCTGGTGAGTGGCCTATTCTCATTTAAAAGGGGTAATCAACGTAAGTAAATAAGTAGGGAACAAGCAAAATTACAAATCAATAATCTGATAATATCTTTATTATTTAAATGAGTTAATTTGTCGATTTTGTAAATGATGTACATTTATTATTGCCAACTATTGATAGTTTAATGCATTGAAATGGTATGGATAGCAACACATTGGTATCATTGTACTTTTTCATATCATTTTGATTATTTAAAAAAAAATTGATTTTAGTTCATTGATTGATCCATCAATAAATCGTTGGGATGGTCGGTATTCAATAGAATCTTTAGACTTTGTATCTAGTTCATCCTGATTACCGTCACTAGATAACGACCCAACGGTGTATTCATCAGAAGAAGAATACAAAGTTTTGACTAAGTTTATTCTTACATCACACACAGATAGCAAAAATTACAGGTACCTTAAACAAGCATGAAAGAGTAGAGCCTTAAAGCAATCAGGCAAGCGAGTTAGCGCGGGAGTCGAATGAGCGAGTCAACGAACACGATCAAAATGTACATAATATATGCATAGTGAAATCAATGAATCATCGAATCAGTTGAGCGACTAATAGTAAGGTTAACAGAATGAATATAAGTATAGGATCGCAAATACTCACTGCTGAGGTATTCCCATACGACGAAGAAACGGCCGTCTAGTGCTTCCAGTTTTTCCATGGTGGTCTAGCTTCAATTGACTCATGATTATATTCTCTGATTAAAATAATAAAATAGCATGTAAAGAGATCATTGAAGCCTGTGACATGAATATTGTAAATAAACCTCTGTAAAGTGATGGAGCTGTGGCCTGTTGAAGCTTATCAACTTACAAGAAGATATCTGTTTAATGTTTCATAGATTCTATGGATTTCCCAGTTTATGAAACATATCTATAAAATGTAAACTGTATTATATAACATAATGATAACGATATACTGACATGTGACTAACTTTGACATTTGTCCGTTTGGTTAATTTGGGAATAAGATACTGATTCATTGATTATATTGGATGATCATCAGAATGTAGTGAATGATAACACGTCAATGGGGACAGCTGAATGTAAATGAACACAAAATTACAGAACATCTGAGAACTATACGGTAAATACTTCAATTGCGAAATGTCAATCAATTGACTTTATTGTTCCTTCATTTTCACATCAGTCGTTCTCTGTTCTCGTTCTCTTTTCCTCGATCTTATTAACCTTTTGCTACTAGACATTTCATTTTCGATTGATGATACATACTACTTATATCTGTCGAGATCAGTAGTAAACACCTCAAGGGTAAATCGTAAAATTAACGAAAGTTGAAATCGAGGTTGCTGAGTTCTAATTCAATACCTAGAAAGAATTATTCATCTTATGAGGTGTAAAGTCTTTGGGTTTAACTCAGCCTACGATTATAGATGTGTACTGTTGAAAAGTTTTATACTGTGACTTAAATAATTGTCAGAGTTGTTAGCTGGTGACGGAAATTACTTACACATTATCTAGACGTACAAATTAAAAGTAGAAGATATTTTGTTGATTTGTGCTGAATAGTTAAATATCCTACTTGACTACTATGACAAAATTATAATAAGCTTAAATTACAAGTATGATAAGCAAAGATGAATAGTGGTTAGCACTAGAATCCAGGACGAGCGTTCCCTCCTACTAGTCAATATCCATCTTTACTTATAATGCTTGTGACTTAGTAGCAAGAACGAGGCAGTCCGCACAGTATGCACATATTCCAATAAGTGACTGATCTATTGTAGTCCGAAACATCAATGGGAAGTATCAAGTAAACAACAATACCAATTGAATTTTTATTACAAGTGTTCATTACAATAGGAGAAAAATCATTGATTCTAATGGAATGTGAAAAGTAAGGAAAGACAAGAATGAAATTGTAAAGTTACTTCACTAACTTAATACGATCGCATACAAAACAAATAGAATATTATTCTAATTTGGGATGAATTATGATCCACGGAAGCTTCATTATAGATCATAAAAACGCATACCTTATTGATAATGTAATGCTTTTGTAATAAGGGCGATTTCTAACATTAGATTTTCATGACAAAAATACACAGTAATACTGCCACTACTACTACTACTACTACTACTACTACTACTACTACTACTACTACTACTACTACTACTACTACTACTACTACTACTACTACTACTACTACTACTACTACTACTACTACTACTACTACTACTACTACTACTACTACTACTACTACTACTACTACTACTACTACTACTACTACTACTACTACTACTACTACTACTACTACTACTACTACTACTACTACTACTACTACTACTACTACTACTACTACTACTACTACTACTACTACTACTACTACTACTACTACTACTACTACTACTACTACTACTACTACTACTACTACTACTACTACTACTACTACTACTACTACTACTACTACTACTACTACTACTACTACTACTACTACTACTACTACTACTACTACTACTACTACTACTACTACTACTACTACTACTACTACTACTACTACTACTACTACTACTACTACTACTACTACTACTACTACTACTACTACTACTACTACTACTACTACTACTACTACTACTACTACTACTACTACTACTACTACTACTACTACTACTACTACTACTACTACTACTACTACTACTACTACTACTACTACTACTACTACTACTACTACTACTACTACTACTACTACTACTACTACTACTACTACTACTACTACTACTACTACTACTACTACTACTACTACTACTACTACTACTACTACTACTACTACTACTACTACTACTACTACTACTACTACTACTACTACTACTACTACTACTACTACTACTACTACTACTACTACTACTACTACTACTACTACTACTACTACTACTACTACTACTACTACTACTACTACTACTACTACTACTACTACTACTACTACTACTACTACTACTACTACTACTACTACTACTACTACTACTACTACTACTACTACTACTACTACTACTACTACTACTACTACTACTACTACTACTACTACTACTACTACTACTACTACTACTACTACTACTACTACTACTACTACTACTACTACTACTACTACTACTACTACTACTACTACTACTACTACTACTACTACTACTACTACTACTACTACTACTACTACTACTACTACTACTACTACTACTACTACTACTACTACTACTACTACTACTACTACTACTACTACTACTACTACTACTACTACTACTACTACTACTACTACTACTACTACTACTACTACTACTACTACTACTACTACTACTACTACTACTACTACTACTACTACTACTACTACTACTACTACTACTACTACTACTACTACTACTACTACTACTACTACTACTACTACTACTACTACTACTACTACTACTACTACTACTACTACTACTACTACTACTACTACTACTACTACTACTACTACTACTACTACTACTACTACTACTACTACTACTACTACTACTACTACTACTACTACTACTACTACTACTACTACTACTACTACTACTACTACTACTACTACTACTACTACTACTACTACTACTACTACTACTACTACTACTACTACTACTACTACTACTACTACTACTACTACTACTACTACTACTACTACTACTACTACTACTACTACTACTACTACTACTACTACTACTACTACTACTACTACTACTACTACTACTACTACTACTACTACTACTACTACTACTACTACTACTACTACTACTACTACTACTATACTACTACTACTACTACTACTACTACTACTACTACTACTACTACTACTACTACTACTACTACTACTACTACTACTACTACTACTACTACTACTACTACTACTACTACTACTACTACTACTACTACTACTACTACTACTACTACTACCTCTCTTCCTTTCTTTATTTCTTCAGGTTTTATTACATTATGAATCAATAAATAAACCTTTTAAAACATCATATCAAGGACATTTGAAAGTGACAAGATGTTTATCTTTTATTAGTGCATTGACCAATTGTAATAGATGTATTTAGTATCATATAAAAAGTTATTTATCCCAAAAACATTTAGTCTTTGTTTATCATCATGTGATTTCAACATGAAATCATCCATAGTCTATAGACTAAGAGACAAAGGGATAAAGAGAGCGAGAGAGAGGAAATGAATAGGAAGAATAGATTCTCTTGAACTAGTTAAACTGAATTTACTAGTAACTTAAGGCAAATAATCTCTTATTTCTCAGTTGACTATAGAAATATCATCATTTAAAGTGTTGAATGTGATAAATTGATTAAACCGCATTAGAATTAGAACTATATAGATAAATCAATATATGAACATCAATAGAAATACTGTGTTTATTAACAGTTGTCTACGCAAAATACTTCGGATCCGTTGGCCGGACACTATCAGCAACAACCTATTGTGGAAGAGAACAAACCAGATTCCAGTGGAGGAAGAAATCAGAAAGAAGTGCTGGAAGTGGCATAGGACACATATTGAGGAAGGCATCCAAATATATCACAAGGTAAGCCCTCACATGTAATCCTCCTGGCTAAAGGAAAAGAGGAAGATCAAAAAACACATCACTCCAAGAAATGGAGGCAGACATGAGAAGAATGAACAACAATTGTATAGAACTGGAAAAGAAGACCCAGGACAGAGTGGGTTAGAGAATGCTGGTTGACGGTTTATGCTCTATTGGGAGTAACAGGTGTAAATAAGTAAGAAATGCTGAATTCATATTTACTAGATTCAGAAGAGCATGAATAATGAACTGAGCGAACACTAGAATCATACATGAAGAGTTATCTAGCTATAATAGCGCGTTTTTTCCCTAAGGTGTGATAATGTTGTATGCTGGGATTTTTCAAATGTGACTCTTGATTAGGGAACTGATGTATCTGCTTTCAAAAGGCTACGAATCCCAGATAATATTAATAGATTTTTCAACTATCAAATATGAATAGAATAATAATTGATTGAGAAAATGTTTGATCCAAGCATTCCTTTTTTGACTACTTAATGTGGAACATTCAACTACACACTTCATTGTTTGAAGCAAAGATGGATAGTGGCTAGCAGTGGAATCCAGGATGCTCATTTCGTCTTAATCGAAACTCATCAGCTGGATGTACCTGCATCTTAGAGCTGATGTTCACTCTGAAACGAGAACACAGTGCCATTCTCTTCAAATGCCATCACATGTTTGACCTTCTACCCTATGCTCAATTTATTTAAAACTATTAAGTCAAACCTTAGCACTGATACCTACAAACACATTAATTTTCGGTACATTGGCCGAAAGCAGTTGACAGTATCTTAAGCAGCTAACGTAATTATGGTTTAGCATCACTTAATAATCGTGCATAGCAAGTATGATGTAATTCATTGATTAAGTACCAGTTCAAGTAATCGCCTTTTAACTACACTGTAAGGGTTAATAATGCTGTTTAGTTGACTGGATGAAGTAGGGGGGATAGGGAGTTAAGCTGCATCTGGCTTGAGAGAAAAATGATGGAACTTTCTTCGACTGGTGTCTTTTTTATTGCTCACGATTTGAAAGTTACCTACTGGATTGAACATCTTCGGTTCAATCACAATACTCATTCATTTATGAGACAAGAGTGATTGATTCAATGATAAATTCTTCTTTTTAGGCAATTTTATTCTTCAAGATTTACACTCGCAAAAATACCAGATAATAACTATGGTGATAATGTCTACAGTGAACTCACCATATCATTAGTTGGCTATGTAGTTAGCCAAATTATTAGAACTAATTCGTAAAAAATGGCGACTAATGCTTTAAAAGACGCAGTTCAGCTTTCCAAAGAAATGGATCAGATGAATATGTCTGATACTTTCATAGTATCTTTTGATATGCCTTCATTATTTACGAATATACCATTAGAAGAAAGTATTCATATAATTTGTGACTAATTTGAATTACTTCCTTTGCATAAACGGTTTTTTTCTCAATCCAACTATCAACCATACAAACAAACCGATGGAGTGGTCATGGAATCACCAATAGGATCTATCTTGGCCGATATCTTCATAGCTAACTTAGAACAAACGAAACTAAAACACGAAATCTAGAACATAACACCATAACACCTAGATATGATGATGCGTTTACTATCTGTGATGATGTGGACCACGCTTCTCAGTTACTTAATCACTTCCGACACAAGATTTACAATGGAATATGAAAGAAGTAATCGACGGGGATGAGATTTCAGGAAGAATCTATGGAAGAGTGAAGGAAGCACTTAAAAGAATATTCCCTACCGTTCAACCGGTTTCACGATTCAACACTAAGTGCTCATCATACCATTCAAAGATAGATCAATACTGAGATAGAATGGTGGTTCGGGGTAGTCAACAGGAAACCCTGGACCCGGATTTCGTGCTATTTGGCACTCGTTAGCAAGGTGTACCTGGAATCTTAAGGGAACTGGTTCTCTCTGACGGATTCTATCCCGTGTCACTCAGCTTCACAGTCAGAGACATTACCACTGAGCTATCCGGGCCGTGAATGACCTCCTGTAGGACTGAGATGTATTCAGAATTGATTGATCACTGGGTGGACCTGTTGACTCCCTCCAACCACCATTCTATCTCAGCATAGTGCACGCAATGTCGAGTTACCTAGATTAGTGGCCATATTGCAACATGATCGATAGCATTCGATCTGCACTAAGAATGAGTTGACACACATGACATTGATCACCACACAGTGATCAATCAATTGTGAATAGATCAAAATTCTTCCGATGTCAGCTTCAATTGCATTTGTGAATTTACATGTACCTGCGGTAGCGGGTAAGTAGAAAGGACATAGAGTAGAGGCTCTACAAAATTTGATGAACGTATTCCTATGAAACTATGGCTAAAAGGTAGTAAAATCTTTGCAAGTGCGATTGACAAACATGTATATAGAGGATATCAACTGAATATAAGTGATGCATTCAAAACAATCAACAGATACAAAGCATCAATTTCACTCCGTTTTGCAAAGGCGATTGTTATCAGACATTTCTGACATGATCTGTGTATATACAGGAGAAATTTGATTAACTTTTCCCTACCATGACGACTTGATATTTCTCTAGTAACCTTTGTTAATTTTAAACATCTTTCTTTTCAACCTTGTCCCTAATCTTTTATTATTCTACTGTTCTTTCTCTTTCTGATATTCATCTCTTACATAATCTGATTGATTTCCACAAATTTATTTATTTAATCATGTTGAGCGATTACCCAATGGCTTATTAAACTCATTACTCTTATATAACCTCTTAATTATATATTGATTATAATAAATATATTTTTGTTATATTCTAATGGGTAAAAGAATTTCATTCCCGACGTTTCGTGACTTAATGCAGGCCACTTCTTCAGATTAGGATATAATAAAAATAATATCCAATAGTTGAATTCATGAGTCTATTTAAGCTAATCCATCATTGAAAACCTGAAAGCACTGGATGTCTGTTTCGTTCTAGTGTGAGATTTCCCAGAAGTGCGCATCCATGACCCTGCGCATGGGACTCGAACCCGGGACCTGTTGTTTCGGGAGCGAACATTTAACCTCTAGATCACTGAGCTGGCATCCAACGGTGTTAATATCTAACTTCAACTAATTAATTAACTCATAAATTCAACTATTCATTGATCAATATGATTTGAAATAATCAAGTCCAACCTTAATCTTATTCATGTTTATTCATACACTTTGTATTCCTATTATTCCGTATTATTATGATTTTGGTTACCTTTTGAACATTTACTTAAAGTTCACAAACTAAATTATGTCAAACATTTGTCAATAATCAGACTAATCATTATAGTTTCAGGTTGTATGTAGTTGATGAGAATCTGTGAAGTAGAATGATGCATTCATTTTATTCGAACAAATCAGCTTCCATCTGGGAAGGAAATTAGGAAAAAATGATTGAAATGGTTAGGATACACATTACATAAATCATCAAACTGAATCACGAAGCAAGCCCCAAATCGAAATCCTGAAGGGAAGCGGAAAAGAGGAAGGCCAAAGAAAACACCATGTTGAGAAATAGAATCAGATATGAAAAAGATGAATTACAACTGGAAAGGACTGGAGAGGATTGCCTAGAACAGAGTTGGATGGAGTGTTCTGGTGGACGGCTTGTGCTCCTCGACGAGGAGTAAGAGGCGTAAGTAAGTAATCATTTTATTCTACAGACTACGTTGTTATTATTATTGTTGCTTGAACCTTTAGCCGATCTACTTCTTTTCCATATCGTTCCTAATTACACAATTCTATTCAATTTCAAGAATAACCCATTTTCACAATCAAAAATTTTAATAGTTGAGATCACGAAACAACTGAAGCCAGACCACCATGAAGAAGTTGGAAGCACTGAAAGACCGTTTCATCCTATTTTGTGATCTCTCAGTAGTCTGCAACCAAGGCTCTGCCTCGCCGGATTCGAACTCAGGACACATTCGGATACTAAAAGTCTTTACTAAACTTCAATAGTATTCTTAATGCTTAATATAAGCTTCATAGACATTGTTTTCCTCATTTACCTGTAAAGAGTAAGAATAAAGTTTTTAGTAGAATAACAAGGAATTCATTTTATTTCATTAAATTCATGTCATCTACTAACAAGTCGGTCAAAATGTAAAAGAAAATAAACATCATCAATGATGTAAGTAGCCTCAAAAGACTAAATAAAAATATTGTAAATACATATAGAATGTAGAATAACATTCAGTAACATTAGTACTAATAAAAGATCGAAATTATTAGACATAAGTAGTTGTGTAATGGATAAATAACGCAATCATTACAAAACCTAAAGGCACTCAGTTCGATCCCAGGTCGTTTACAGAGTGAACATAGCTGACAAATATCAAATGACAATGAAATAACTGCTCGTTACTTTCACATTTTCATTCAGTGGCTTTTTTTTTATCTGGTATTGTTGTGAACCAATATTTTAGTGGGGAACATCAATTTATTGTTTCATACAAAATTACTGAA